GAAAAGAGATGCCCCTAGCAAAATAACCTTTCTCCGTAGTGCCCAGGCTGAAGTTGGGGCAGCCATGGGTCAGTTTTCAGGAACCGTTGTAAACCAAGTGGAAGCAACTAATGTCATTGCATATTAGGTGCTGTCCTACAAAAGCTGGGACGGTGCATGTGTTAAAAGGCTTCACCATCTGAGAGAGTGCCCAGGACCTGTACAAATGTATCTGCTTCATCGTCCTACATGGGTAATGTGGCTTAGACACTGACCCCAGCAGGTGGCAAGTGTGTTTGCAGTCACAGCTAGCCTTCCTCCAGTGAGCAGCATGTTAATGCCTGCCTCTTATTATACACCCATGTGTGAGAACTGTTTTGGTACCAGCGTAGCCCAGTTTAAGCAACTGTTCCAAGTAGGGGATCTGTCCTGGGGCTACTTACTGTATGTGGTTGAGATGGAATGTGTCACCCTGATAGTCACATGTGTCTGCTGACTGTGTGTGCAGACGGATGAGGGTTTCCCATAGTGGGGTAAAGCTTGGGAAGTCTCGTTTTTAGGAGCAAATTCAGGGAAGAATTCAAGAGAAAATACAAGCTGGCATAGGAGTGTTTGTGAAGTCAGGGAGCACAGGGCAAGTTGACCCTGCTTCCTCTCCTGCTGTTGAGAGGCGTGGTACGTGGGAACCACGCTGTGTGTGGCTCCTGATGAGGATGTCACCATCTGCAGGAGGCCGCCTCTGACTCCCGGGACCCACACTGTTTCTGGTGGCCTTGCAGCTTGAGGTCTGGAAGGCCACCAACTCTTTGCACCCCAGCCTTGCCCTTCCTCTGCACCCTGGCAATGCTGTCATAGTCTCCGTCACCACGTCTACCCGGCTTCTTCTCTGTTGCTCCAGGTCATCCATCAGCTGAGGCTCTCTGAGAACGAAAGCGTGGCTCTGCGGGAGCTGCTGGACTGGAGGAGGAAGCTCTGCGAGGCCAGAGAGGGCTGGCAGGATGCCCTGCAGCACCCAGAGCCCCGTGTGCCTCCGCCGCCACCCTGCAAGAAGCCCACACTCCTAAAGAAGCCCGAGGGGGGCTCCTGTACCAGGCTGCCTTCCCAACTCTGGGACAGCAGTATCTGACATGACCTAGACTGCAGGCAGGTGACTGAGCTGTCCAGTGGCAGCAGGCACAGCGCAGGAGGCTGCCTTCTGATGTCTGAGGTCTCCTCTCCAGGCATCTCCACAAAAGCACAGGACATTAATGATAACTACCCAAGACCTCCTGTGTGTGTGCGTGTGTGTGTGTGTGTGTGTGTGCGCGCGTGCGTGCGTGTGTGCGTGGTGCGTGTGTGTGCGTGTGCGTGTGTACGTGCGTGCTCATTGGTCCCTTCTCCATTTCTTGGCAGCACACTGATTTTTAGGGCCGCACTGCTCCCAGATAGCTAGAGAGGTGAGGAGGCCTGTGGGTGAGGTTGGAGGGCAGAGAAGTGGGGAGAGGTCCTCCAGGCAGCTGTTTCTAGAACACTCCACATTTAGCCACTATCCCACCAGTGGCTTTCCTACGGTGCAGCACATAGGATGTATGTTTCGTTTCCTTGTAGGTGTTTGTGTGTCATTAGAAGTGCAAACCCGATGATTGTTTTACATGTTTATTACTGTATTTTATAACTTTATGCAACTGGTGTGTTCCCTTTCTTCAAAATGCAGGTTTAAAAAAAATCATTTCTAGGTGTTTTTTTTTTTAAATCCCACATACTTATTTTTAACCCAAAGCCCCTCAAAGCCCGGGGACTGTGCGTTGCCTTGGCTTTAACTGACCCCTGCAGGAATGCAGGTTGCGAACTAGAGTTTATAGTTCATGTTCCTCCGCTCTTTTCCGCACCCAACATTTCCCTTGGGTGCATGTGGCTTTGGCGCTCGTTGCTTAAGCTTCAACCCCACCCAGCCCCTCAGCTTGGCATAGATGACAGGATGCTTACGGTTCAAAGCATATGGCTTCAAGTTCCTAGCTGGTGACACAAGAGTTTCAACAGTACTAATGAGCAGGCTGAGCCCCATAGAGTGGAGCAGTGCACTGCCCTCCCTAGGAACACTGCATGATTCCCCTGCCGTGTGCCCAACCCGCTGTTGTACGTGCGATGGCCGTCCTTCCCCATGTCTTTCTGCCCACTGTCAGTGAGTTCCGAGCGAGCGGTGGCTCCACCAGCCACCTACCACTGTCCCCTGCTTCCTGGGCCGCTTTCTTCATTTCAGCCGTTGCAGAGCTACTGTGCCAATAAAAGGGTGCAACCGTGTCCCATTGTTTTTGTCATTTGCGGTCAGTGCTGTCTTCTCTGTCTCCTGATCAGCTAGGTAGGAGTGATGGAGCACCTTCACCCCGCCTCCCTTTACAAAGAGACAGCAGCTAGCACAGAGAGGGTGCGCTGTGTGTTAAAAATAAAAAGCTAGGGGTGACCCACAGAGCCACAGCAAGCAAGGCACTAAAGCATCCCAGAACTAACCACCCTGAGCCCTGTCTGCAGCTCTGGATACAGCTGGCCCTGTCGTAAAGGGGGTAGTGGGGATGAGGGCTCTGTGTTGGTGGCTTCGCCCTTGAAAGGAGTGCTCAAGGATTAGCCACTCATTTTATCTAAGAATGAGCTCACCTGGGGGCCATAGCCCCTCCGGGACAGCAGAACAGGCAGAATAAAGCATCATGACTCATCCACATTGTCTTCCAACAGTCATGGAGGTGCTTGGCTGCCCCTGACCACACCCAGACAGCTCCCCTGTCATTTCTTCATGTTCTCTCTGGATCCAGCCCACAGGCTGTGGAGGAGCTAGCTCCTTACCGACAAGACTCCTTTGGCCTCCACTAGTCCTGGTACATTGTAGACTCTCAGTGATCTGGGTTGAGTTGGAATCTGGGATGGTTCCCCACACAGAACAGAGCATGATCTGTCAACGCTGTGCCTGTGTGCAAGGCTCGGACTGTATTGATGTGGTATCTGTTGCCAATATGAACTGCCTGGTTTGGGCTGTCCAGAAAATTACCCTAAGGAAACAGACTAGAAAACAGAGTTCTTGATGTCCACCAGAAAGGCTGAGCTCTGGGCTCTCTTGAGAGTAATGTCTGCTGAGGGGCAATGCCTGGTCTGCAGATAGCCATCTTCTCGATGTCCGTCCATGTGGAAAAGGGAGAGAAGCTACAAAGCTCTGGGGTGTCTTTCACAGGGTCATGACCTTGCCATCCCCCAATGGTCCACTTCCTCACACACTAAGGTCTCAGCTGCAGTGTGTCAACTTGGAGGAAATCTCAGAGGCTCAGTTGGTGGCATTGACAGGCACCCATAAGGTCATTCTTCTATTAATACTGAAATCACAGTTCAGAGTTTTAAAGAAGCCCCTCAAAATATCACCTTTCATTTCTATCATTCCAGGGTGGCACTATGACTTGACACCCTGACATCGTCAACTTCTTACATTAAGTGTACCTTTAAAACCTTCAAAGCAAGTGACTTTTTTTCAGATACACCACTGTGCGAGATTATGTTACACGGCCACCATAGGGAGACCTTACATGGAGATGGGTCCACGAGCCACACGTGATCCAAATTCCACTACCTTCTCAGCCAGGTGTAGCCTGGAGACCTGTACAACCCAAGGAGCTCAACCACTACTGTGAGCATCAGAAAGCAAGAGCCAGCCAGGCTCTCCAGAGGCCACAGGTTGACCTTCAGAGGCCAGAAGGTCAACCCCTTGTAAACTGTAATTGCCAACTCTACCATCAGCGTGTGAGGCCATCTGTGTTTGGCTGCCTGCTTCTAGGCTACAGAGAGAGGTGGCGTGTGCATCCATTACTGTGTGTGCACTTGAGACTGTGGAATTTACATGACAGGGAGATGGGCAGAGTCACCAGCACTAGAGCCATAATATCCATAATTACCAGTCATAATAACTGAGAGCTAGTCCAGTTCTTTGTGTGAATTGTACGTCCTCAGCACAGCTCTGTAATGAGGGCAGCACCGTTCACAGAGGCGGCGTTCTGGATAATACAGCCCTGGCCATTATTCCACACAAGCAATATTCAGGTACACACAGTTGCAAAGAAAAACGGCATTTTAATTGCCACCAGACCATAAGGTATGAATTATGATATATTATTAGGCCCGCAGCCTTATGTTTAACAATATAATTGGTAAGAATTATGATGCTATGTTCAAACACTACCTACTCTATTTCTTTTTTTAAAATTATTTATGAGGGGCCTCTAAAAACTACCATCAAAATGTTTATATTGGGTTAAGATGACTTAAAACATATTTTCCAGAGTGGAAAAAATGCCTCATTACTATTCTTAAGTAGTGGTATCTAATTTAGCAAAGTTATGATTACATAAATCTACTCAATAAAAGTAATAACCAATTAAAATCCAAGGTTGGTGAAAGGACTTCACATAGAAATATTAATTACTTTGTTTGGACAAGAATAATATATTACAAATTTCCTAGCTTAGGATGATGGCTAGAGCTCTGCCAAAACTCAGTGGCGGTCAGATTCCAGCTGGGTGTCGAGCTCAAGGCCCATGTCCGTACAAGCCCAAGGCTGAGGCGGGAGAAATGGATCAGCAGACAATGTGCTTGCCACACAAGCATAAGGACTTGTGCAAAAGAAGTCTGCTGTGGGGGTGTATGCTAATAACCCAAGTTCTGGGGAGGCAGAGGCTGGAGGCCCCTGGCTCTCACTGGTCAGATAACCCAACCTACTAGGTGAAAGACCATGAATAAAAAGAAGGAGAAAATGGTAGACTTCACAAAGGAACAGCACAAAAGGCTGATGTCTGTCCTCCACATGCACATCCACATGTGAACACACACATACACACACGCACACATATATACATACACACACATATATATGCATACACACATGCACATACACACATAGGCATACACATGCACACACGCACGCACACACGCACATATACACACAGGCATACATACACACACATGCACATGTATACATATACACATACACACATACACATATACACACAGATATGCACACACATATATGCACACAGACACTCAGACACACACAGGTATGTACACACATATACACATCTGAGGTTGTTAATTATGATGCTCCACAGTGGCCCAGCTCATCCTCTGCCCACACGCTAAACTATAATCCTATCCCACCAACTTTCAGCTGTAAGTTTTTGACAGGAAGTTAATGGATTTGATTTCAACTCCAATTTTCATTAAAAAGCATTCTTAAATTGGTCAGCGAGGAAAATTAAAACTGTGCTCTGGGAAAATTTTAGTGTAAACTTATTTCATCTTTCAAATTGTGCCTAGGGGCACACACAGGGCTGTATAGTGCAGAACGGGAAATTCACCGTTTCAAAAGCCTAAGCCCAGCCTGTCCACCCTCATTCTTTCACTATTCATAAGAAGTGACTATCATATAAATTCCTTAATGAACAATGGCTTGCTCTGCAAGGTGTCCCTGTGTGTGACAATGATCCCTTTAGATGGCAGAGCACTGTGGGAGCCAAGATTCAGTCTGGAAAGAATCACTTTTATACTCTGTCACTTTGCCTAAGTTCTTCAGACCCCTGCGAGGTTCCATTGTGATGGCTTCCACAAATGTCTCTAAAATCCAGCCCGCATCGCACACCTTAAAGATGGTAGTTTCAAAGGGTGAGTTTTATTAGAAACCTGTCATACATCTGTCATCTGTTTTAATTTCTCAGATCATTCTCCAGGGTGTTTGAAGTGTATTTATACTTATATGTCACTTGTGTGTGCTCCAACACCAGAGGACTGTCATCTGGGTTTTATGCAGTGAACCAAGACATCACAATGGTTGGAGTTTCTTACAGGAAAATAATGACAGATGAATAAGTAATGCATTCATCCCATTGTTAAGGCCCCCCATGTCCTCACTGCCTTTGAGTTTAGCCATTGCAGTCCCCCAGCCCCACCTCCAGGCATACGTGCTGCCTTGCCTTGCTCCAAAGCCCCAGGGAATATGGATTGCTTCAAAGAAGGCAGCCAGCAGGCTCACATTCTCCTGATGTCACCATTTGGTGCATAATGTCTAAAGAAATGAAAGAGAATGAGATTATTGATATATTCTAAAGGAGGGAGGGACAAAGCTCTACAGAAAAAAAAAAGACTAACACCAAGTTCAACTTGAATTTTTGATCTTTAAGATTTTAACAAACAAAGAAGCTGGGAGTCCATGATGTGCAGCCATTATCTGCTGAGCATGGGTCCTTCCCTGTCTGAGAAGACAGAGTCTATTTTGGGGGACACATTTTACTTCATTGAGACAAAGAGCTCGTGCGGTGCCTGGAGGAGCAGACACAGGACCCCTATGGTCGGGCTTCCATCAACACGTTCAATAAGTTCGTCTTGCTATGACCACACTAACTCCTCAGCGGTCCTGATAGAATGCCGGGGCTCCTTCTGCCTTTACTGATGGGGAGCTGCTGCCACTCCCTTGAGCTGAGTAGCTGTCGCAAGGCAAATATGCTGGTTGCTTTTCCACTTGGTTTTCTGAAATTCTCTCTGTGGCGTGTAAAACAAGTGTGTTGATTTAGATCCGCACGTCTTTCAGAAGCTCCCTTCTGCGCATGTGGCATTGGTGCTGGGTCTCCTTGTCCAGTAGATGCATTTCCTGCTCCTAGAAGGCCACGTTGCAATGAGGAGGAGACATGGTGTGAAGTCCACTCCCTACAAAGGTCACTCCACACACAATGATGCTTATATTCGCACCGCCAAGCTTGATGAAGGCGAAATATCGGGTACTATAAAAGAAAATACTGATTTTTTTTCTCTCAAAGGAGTCATGGAGAGTTTTCTAAGGTCTCATTTTACTAGCATCCAAGAGTCACTATTAACGGCAGGCAAAGTCTGAATGTTTTTCATCATGCAGTAACTTCTAGAATGAGAGCATTCTAAATTCTCACATGGCTTCCCTACAGTACCTGCCCACTGTAATTTCTGTCACCCCCTGGAAACTGAAAGGACTTATGAAATCCCATCTTCCCAAGACTCCAGGATGGTCCTTGTCAAACAGGGGCTATCTGTCCATCGTTAATGGCTGAATAAACTGACAGATAATTGGGCAGGGGAGAGATGGGTCCTAGATTACAGACTCTAGCACTTACAGAAGCCTGCCCTATCTTAAAACCCCACCGGGTTTTAATGATTAAATCATTATATAGAACTTTTGATGAACAGGGAACTGTAGGAAGAAAAACCTTCCTAAACAGAGGTGACAATATAATGGGATTGCAAAGCATGTCCTGTATATATGAAGGAGAGCTGCCACCCATGGACTCTGGGACCTCCTAAAGGTGCTTACCTGAGATGAGCATGCACCCTCAGGCATCTCCCATTTTCTACAACAGAGACAGTGCAGGTAAGCTTTCCCTCAAAAAGGTGGCGCCCCGTTCTATGGTCTAACTATCAGTGCTCTGTCCCCTCCCCAGTTCAATAGTTGAAACTTTATACTGTATTTAGAGGAATCTCTTTGGGAGATGGCCAATAATTCCTAAAGGTCCTATCCTCATGAATGGAGTTAATGATGTCATGAAGTGGGGGGCCCCATGTTTTTCCTACCATGAACCGATGCAAGCAACAAGGCTCCGCCCATCTATCACAACACCCTCAGAAGGCAGCAGAGTTACTCGCATCTTTCATCACGAACTCCAGAACTGTGAGTAGTAGTAATTCTCATGTCTACACATCACCCAGACTACAGCGTTCGGTTACAGCATCCAGAGCAGAGTGTGACGCCAGGTATGGGTTCCCTCTATGCTGCTCACTGTGATGGACCAAGGACCTCTCAACCCTTTCATCTTCCAATGAAAATGAACCCCAGCCACACCCCCTCCCCATTCCATAAGATGGCAACACAGAGAATGCAGCTGCCTGGGATAAAGAGAAAAGGCAGAGTCGAGTGTCACCAAGTGCTGGAGAGGAGAGACCCAGTGACAACACGAGGAGAATCCATGACCAGGGAAAGAGACAGTCAGGGCTGGTAGGCTTAGCGGTCCGTGTTGACTTGGCAGGTAATATGGGTGACAGCTCTGCAATCGGATTGACGGGAGGTTGCTCTAGAGATGGGCTACCTCGTCTGTGGAGGTCTTCCCGGTGGAATTTCACGTCCCCACCACAGACCACCTCTGTCTCGTTCAGCAGCCTTCCTTCAAGCTCTACGGAGCTCCTCCATAGCCCGCCATTTACTATCCCATGGAAACTACACAGACTGGCCCAAGGTGTTTCTTCACACAGGCCTGCTTAAACATGACAATACTGAACCAGAGGTCTCCTGGACACAAGACTCTCAGGCCTGGGGACCGCCTGAGTACCGTCTGACCTCCTTAGGTGCGAGTGCGATGTAGCTTCTGGTCTCATTAAGAAGAGGGCTCTGGTGAGTCCGTGAGATCCCTGATGAACAAGGACCTTAAATTAGTCTCTGGCTTTGCGAAATAGAGTAGCCACCGAGGGGAAGGCTGGCTGCGGTCTTTGGCAGCTGCCACAGAAAAGCACAAAGGGGGTTGCTGAAATGTCTGGCTGCTTCCATTCTTGAAAATCATAAGGGCAGAGGGACAAGCTTCAGCTTCTTATCCTCAGTTTACACTATCCGTGGGATGCCAGGGAACACCTACCTCTGGGACATCGTGTTTCTTATAGCTATAAGGCTCCTGGGCCCAAAAATCAGGCTCTTAAGATAAGACTGGTGGTAAGGAAAATGAGAAACGCCCAAACTGAAATGAGTTGGAAGGAAGAAGCTAGTTGCTATAGATGCACAGATTAAGAATCACGGGACTAGGTTAAATGTAGGTTAAATTTATTCTGGGAGAAGTCACTTCCATGATAAACCGATGACCCGCAAGTTCCTGCTCCGAGGATCCACACCCAGGCTGCTCTCTGTGACCCAACCAGAACCAAGAGAGAGCGAGCTGGGGTCCAGGACCCTCCCCATCACATCCACACCTGTGACCACGCCTAAATGGGCGGAGTTACCTTGAAAATTCAGAGGCACGCCCCCAGAACCTTTGATTCCCCCTCCCTGGTGCTTCCATGGTTCTTTCCTTTCTCATGGGGCCATTCTGCCTCACCTGAGGCCCAGAGCATGTGTTCTATCTGGGGAATGTGCCTCTGAAATAGCTTCTTAAACTGGAAACCCTCAAAAGCCCTAATCCCATCACTATACCTCAGACCAGGCAACCGGAGTACCCCAACACAGGAACCCCCACCAGAACTCCCACAGTTCTGTGGGCAGCTCCCTGGAAGCAGCAGGTGATCTTAGACTCTCCTCTGCTAACTTCCAGTTCCTGTTACCTTGTCAAGATAATCCAGTGATTCTCTGACCACTCTCATCAACCCTAACCCTGACCCTGCACCCCTGCCTTTGTAACATCGTTTTTTAATCTGTAGTATTTATCACTACTTGACAGATGCTTGTCTTGCACAATTATTTATTCAGTGTGTCTTCTGTGCCCCCAGGGTAGACTGACCGGAAGTTAAGAAAGATTGGAGTTGCTGAAATCCTGGTCAGGGAGAAAGAAGTCTCGAATGTTCCCCTAGGGAAGGTAGAGATAGGCGTCTGCAGGAGTCCCCTGAGCACAGAGAACATCTCAGATGGACGACCTGGGAACAGAAGAAACATCCCTGGAAGACAGATGCTAGGAAAGATGTTGGTAAGAAAGAACAAAAGACTTTCAGACCCCAGTCACATGGGAATGGGGTTTCAAAAAGCCAGCCAGCATTGGAGGGTTCAAGCGAACTGACCTATGCTGTGAGAGCCAGACCACCTGGTTTCTCTGCTACCCCTACAACATCTCAAAGGACTCCTGAAGGAGGTAGTCATGCCAACACAAGCCGGCGTAAAATACAGGTTTGAAATACATATGAGCACTACTACATCTTCTAAATGTCCTGTCTACCAAAGGAGACCTTACTGAGGGACTCAGCCACACTTTGTACCAGTCAGTGCCCACAGCAAACCAATTGCAAAGGCCCTCAGCTACCACAGAGGGGCTTTCTCTTCCTGGGCCCTGGGGATGGATTTCTTACCCTACCTGTCAAGCTTCTCTCCATAATGCTGTCTGTTAAAAATCCACAGAGTGCTGCCTGCTGCTCACCTTTTATCCCAGAACTGGGGAGTCAGAGGCATGTGTTAATTTGAGGCCTGGTCTGCAGAACAAGTTCCAGGATAGCCAGGGCTGTTACACAGAGAAACTCTGTCTCAAAAAAAGAGGAAGGGAGGGAAGGAGGGAGGAAGGAAGGGAGGGAGAGAGGGGGAGGAAAAAAGGAGGGAAGGAAGGAGGGAGAGAGGGGGAGGGAGGGAGGGAGGAAGGGAGGGAAGGAGGACTTTGAACTTGCAATGTCCCAGAAAATTCTGAAAACTTCAGTCCTTCTAGTAGCAAAGTGATGGGTGAAGGCTCATGGGACTTGTTCCCTGTGACACGTCTGGGTCTTGGAGGGTACTAAGATGTTCCTATGAAGACCTGACACTAACCCAGTGGGATTGCTGTGTGGAAAGAAGGGCACTGCTGGACGAAATGCAGTGTGTCGCTGTAACAGAGATCAGAGCACAGCCATGCGAGCCTATGAAGAAGAGGGGAAAGGAACCCCCCACTCCCCCACCTCGCTGTACACTCATGTTGCGTTCTTAGATGGTACCTGTTCCTATGAAAATCCAAGGAAAGAGTGGTCCTGCTGACCCCACAGTTCAGTGACCTCTGAGTCCACGAGGCCAGCAGAGGATCCACCATGTCGCTAAGGAAGAAGACAAGGAGTATGGAGTTTGAGGCTCAAGGAGGATGCTGTAGTCAAAACCTGCTGTACGCCTTCCTGTTGGTGCAAGGAAACAGCTCGGCAGGAGTCAGACCTTGAACGCTGAGACTGAGAACTCGCCGCTAGATAAGAATCCTCTTGGCTGAGGACAAAGGAGAGCCGAGGAGGTAATGGAAAAAGCGAGTTATAAATACCCGTTCGCAAATACCACGTGAGTTCAGAACGAGGACTGAATTTGCCATCCGTAATATCTTGCTTGTGTTACTATAAAGAGTCACCCCCACCTTAGAAGCAGATTCAGTTGAATCCAGGTCCCGTCAGATTGCTGATCAGATCACCCGTGATAAAGAAATGAACCCATGCAGCTTTTGGAACTCTTCTGATTGCGCATCTTTGAGAGTTATAGTTCCCAAACCTTGCAGCTCAGTGACTGTCAATGGCTGTTGTCAAGATAATTCTGTTTCTGGCTGTTGTAGGTCCAAGGAGAGCATTAGACCCCCTGCTGCTGTGGCCGAGGGCTAGACCCTCACCAGAGAAGCCAGGAGCTACAGACACAAGATGGAGATGGTCAACAAGAATGCAAGGGTTTGCAGGTGAGGAGCGCACCCGGCCCTTGGACATGGTCTCTGCGGGCAGCTTCCACCTACCTGTTGATCAGAGAGAACATGAGTTGAGCTGGAGGCCCTCACTGAATGCCAACAGTAGACTGTGCTGCCTGGCGAGACTCCCACAGCCCATGGGGACTGGTCCTGCAAGCATTTAAAGAGCAGGCCTACATGGATCAGCATACAGCTTATGCTCAGAAAAGAGAGAGGGAGATGTTAGCGACCGCAAATCCAATCCCACCAAGTAACGCAGGCAGGAGACACAAGAGGGATAGGCAGAGGAGCGTGGTAAAATCAAAGCATGAATCCAGAATGCCAGGCTGCTTCTGGGGGGCGGATCCTCATGTATGGAAGGGTGAGACTCAAGTTGGATTTCTGAAAAGAAGAAAGGGAAGGACGAACATCAGCCTCGTGAGCCGCTGCTCAGCTTGCCATAGGTTATGCTGAGCGTAGGAGCTTGTGGAATCCGTTCCTTGATCAGAACCTCAGCAGGCTCAGCAATAAAGGGGTGGCTGCAGCCATGTCACTCACACAGAGTAAAGGTCCCCACTGATGGGACAAAGACTGGTGGCAGTGGTTTGTGAACTGCACATACGGCACTTACCCGTTTTTACCTCATTACAACCTTGTTACCTAACTACCTGGGGATCTCTAAATAGCCAAGGGATCGATGGCTTTTGCTCTTTCAAGTGATTTCAGACAATCCTCGGGTAAAGGACTAGAAACATGCGCCCATCCCTGAGTGATGTCACCTGGGGAAAGATGAGAGTCACAGAATATTCACAGTGACAAGCAAAGTGCAGGAGCCCACGGGCAGCCATTCATAGTAGACACTGGGCTAGAGAGACCCAGAGAGGGGTCGGGAGTTGGGGGCGAGTCGTCACGTATGTAAATCTCTGCAGCACAAACCTCAGCTCTCATTATCCGTATCACGACTGGATAATTAAAGTAAGACAGAACAACCAGAAGGCTGTGGTCCCAACCAGAGAGTCTAAAAAGGGCAGTGTTCTCAGCTGCGAGACTGGATCTGGCCAGAGAAAGAAGGAAACCCATTCAAAGAAAAACTGCAAGTTCTACAAAGAGAGGAGGGAGGGGAAACCGTGGTTGGTATGTAAAATAAATGAAAAAATTAATTTTAAAATGCATATATTCAGGCACTTCTAAAACAAAGAAATACAAGCATCGGCCCATGGCCCTGCTACCATCCCAGGAGAACTGCTTACTGGATAGAGACTAAAAATTGACTTGAGTTTGGAAGACCCTCCCTCCCGGCTCTGCCAGTTCTGATGGGGTCAGCCCTGCCTGGAAGAACAGCAGGAGCTGTGTGGACGTGAGAATAGCTCTTCCTAAAGATGAAGGTTGTAGGAGGGGACACGCAGCAGAAAGCATTGCTCCTCTCAGACTTTCTCCCACAGCCAGCCTCACCTGCGGAAGGCCCAAAGGCCACTGTGAAAACTGAAACTTTCAAAAACTATAAAGTGAATATTTAAGGGGTTCGGTAAGCGGGTGAGTCAAGGCCCTGAGCAGATGCCCTACTGCGTGCTTTAAACGCAGAGCTTACCACTAAAACCCTCAGAGATACAGACAGATAACTGTTCAGGTTGGGATTTGTTGATTTAAATTTCTTTTATAGTGTGTGTGTGTGTGTGTGTGTGTGCGCGCGCGCACGCGCGTGCGCGCACATGTGCCTGTGCATGAAGCTGCTGCTTGTGGGAGACAGTGTGTGAGGAGCAATGTTCTCTTGGATCAGATGGAGAATCTGAGACTAGCCTAGGAAAACACAAACCCAATGTTTGCAGGGCAGAGGGTTCAGGTTTGTTTTTTTAGACAGATAAGGCCAGCACTAGGGGAGCCAAGCTGGGCACTCCCTGGGAGAGTGACAAAATGTGTCCACCTTATTCCAGTCAGCTGTGGGTCACCACCAGTGTGTTTCTGGGAGGACACTTTGTTACTTCTTATTCCCTAAGAAGCTTGCCCACAGCAGTCATTTAAATACACACAGGAAAGAAAGGCCTCAAAAGGAGAAAGAGACAAGGCCAGCTCACATACTTTCCATGTCACAATCCCCGCAGCCTGACATTCCGTTCCATCGACGAAGAAACAATATAATGTACAGTCCTGTCACCATGGCTATTAATAACTTGGATGGCTTCCAGAACCACACAGGGACTGGGAAGTATTCCATCTCTAGTAACTACATCAGCGCTGAGACGGTGCCTCTATGTCTCCTGCCGCTTGTGGAGGCTCTGATTCTCCAGGCAAGTGGACACTCTGATTCACACTGTCAGAGATGAGCGCAGGACCAGTGCTTCCTGGGAAACGTAGAAACCAGAGAACTCTAGGTTCCCAAATACTCGATTGGTTTTCAAGCCTAGTGTAGAAAACCAGTGGGGAAATGTGCGATGGGATAGCTGGGGAAACTTTCCTTCATGTATAGCTGTGATGCCTAGTGGGAACTTGTGTTTAAATTTCTCAGCAGCTGTCATGGTTAAGAGGTTAGCTTCACCATCGACAGCAAACATTTGTTAATCTAAACAGGCAAAAGCAAGAGAAAGGGGTGTGGGGGGAGGAATGGAGGGAGAGAGGGAGGGAGGGAGGGTGGGAAGGAGAAGAGGGAGGATGAAAGAGGATGGTATGGAGGAAGGTGAAAGAGAGGGGACAAGGTAGGAGGGAGAGAGGGACAAAGAAGAGAAAAAGAGGAAAGGGGGGAGGAAAAAAGAATGGGAAATAAGGAAGGAAGTAATGAAGAGAGAAAGAAATGGAGGGAGGGAGAGAGGGAGAGATGGAAGGAGGGAGGAGGGAGGGATGGAGGGATGGAGGGAGGGGAGGAGGAAAATGAAAATAAAAATGTATTCCTCCCCCAGTGTCCTAGGGCCCTTGGAATTGAAGCACACAAAGCTCCAAGGAGTACACAGTCTGTCTCTGCGCCCTTCCTTCCCGTTCCCTGGAATGCTTTGTCTGTGTTTAAGGGTTCTCTTGTATGTCTTCTATAGCACACCGGCCATCTTTTCCAGCATCCCGCACTGCAGTCTTTAAGTGCTGAGGAATAAGATCCACCCAGTCTTGCAACGTGAATGCCTGACATTATTAGTATTTCTAAGAAGGCCGTGTGTAATGCCTTTGCCTTTTGTTTGGACTTTAGATGCCAGGCCACCAGGAGCACCCAAAAAGAAAGTTTGGCTGGCACTCCAGGGGCCTCTTTCCTGCCCTGTTCCCCTGCTCCCCTGCTCCCCTCTGCTCCTGCTTACAAGAAAGGAGAAGACACGCAGCTTCCAGCAGATGACCTAACATCAGAAGGCACAGGGATGCGGCTGTGAAGAGACCCACTGTCCTGACAGGTGGCTACACCGCGTGATGAGAAAGGGTATCATCAGGGATGGGAGTAGAGTCCAAGATTGGACTGGGAGGGGGACTTGCCACATCTTTGAGAGGCTGAAGGTTTCTGGAAGAACAGGCCTCCTAACCAACACCCAGCAGTATGCAAGTGACGAGTGGTTATGCCGGCTGATGGGATGAGGGAGCAAGCCACCCATCCTTTCCCAGCTTGGTGACGAGTCCATCAAGACAGTAGTTCTAGAAAAAATTCCCCTACTCAAGAAATGCTCTCTCTGTCGGGTCTAAATTTACCCTCGGTGGCCACCTGTCCCTCTCCTCATCTTCTCCATCCCTGTCCACTTTGTCCTCCTTCCATCCCTGCCCCGTTTTCTCTTCTAACTGCAAACATGAGGTGTCTCACCTGCTACACACAGTCAGACATCTGTTCTTCACAGTCCTAAGCACAGGACATGTCACCTTGAGTCAGAGTCAACAGTCATTCTCCTTTTCCACCTGACAGTGATGCCAGTCCTCGTGTGATGATGTAGTTCACATGTGATGACGTGAGTCCACATGTGATGATGTGAGTCCACATGTGATGATGTCAGTCCATGTGTGATGATGCCAGTCCATGTGTGATGTCAGTCCACATGTGATGATGTGAGTCCACATGTGATGATGTCAGTCCACATGTGATGATGTCAGTCCACAAGTGATGATGTGAGTCCACATGTGATGATGTGAGTCCACATGTGATGATGTCAGTCCACATGTGATGATGCCAGTCCATGTGTGATGTCAGTCCACATGTGATGATGTCAGTCCACATGTGATGATGCCAGTCCATGTGTGATGTCAGTCCACATGTGATGATGTGAGTCTATGTGTGATGATGTCAGTCCACATGTGATGATGTCAGTCCACATGTGATGATGTCAGTCCACATGTGATGATGTCAGTCCACATGTGATGATGTCAGTCCACATGTGATGATGTCAGTCCACATGTGTGATGTCAGTTCTACATGGGATGATGTCAGTCCACATGGGATGATTTCAGTCTACATGGGATGCTGCTTACTTACTTGGAATCATCTCTGCTCTGTTTTTTTTTTTTTACATAATAAACTAATAAACTCTCTGTGTGTTCCTGTTGCAGAGTCAACCTCTAGGGAGTAGGATTAGGTCTTCTACAGTCTCTAGTGCTCCTGTCACTCGTCTTTGACTTCTGGCTTTGACAGCTCTCTCTAGGAATTTTTCCAGTGCCTGCCACCTGCTTCCACAGCATATGAGGTTCTGCTCCTTATGTCCTCAAAATGTTCCTCTACTGTTGTACTTAACCTTTTAGACGATAGCCTCGTCCTTTATTTTCTGTGTGTTGGGGGTGGGGAGAGCTGGATTATCCAGCTGTGATGGGGGTAGAAATATGAGTGCAACTTCAATACAGGAAAACAATTCTACTCTGTTGAAGGGTCAAGGTCTGGGTTTCCTTTCTTGACTTAATCAAGACACATAGACACACACAGACATGCCATGTGCACGCGCACGCGCACACACACACACACACACACAGAGCTGGGATTACAGGCACAGTACATACAATTGATGGTATGCTTTTAATGTATTTTATTTTAAATTCTATGTCTCTCTGCCGGCTTGCGCACATGAATATAGGTGCCTGTGAAGGCTAGAAGAGAGTGTCACAACCTTTGGATCTGGAGCTGCAGGCAACTGTGAATCAGTGCCCTTTGGTGCTGGGTCCTCTGCGATAGCAATGCACTCTCTGATCTGCTGAGCCTCCTCTACAGCCCCATGCACTTGGACACAAGCTGAGGTCCTCATGACGGCATACTCGGTACTTTCCTACAGTATCATCCCCCGGCCCCTTTAGGAAACATTCTGTAGTCTTTGGAGAATGTAAACACGCATCATCAGTTTTCTCCAACATTTTTAACCAGCAGAATTGAAAGCAGATGTTTGTATATGAACATGTAAGCGGCCTTGTTTGTGGTAGCCTCAGACTGGAAGGATCCCAAGTCCATCAAGAGGCAGCAGGACGAACGGTCGGAGAGCTCTGTGATGGAGCACGACTCAGCGGTGATGGGAGAAGTCTGACGGCAAACAGCCTCACGGTGGCTCTCAAAGTCAGCATACGGTGGGAAGGAACCCGAAGAACGAGCCGCCACAGACAAGGCTAGAAAATGCAAATTAACCGATGGCAGAAAGTGGGCCAGACACCAGAGGACTGGAGCAGGCACGGGCTGGAAAGTGCTGTGGGCACAAGGAAACACTGGCCGCTGCCGGGTGTGACTCTGGTGGCCTTGGCGGTTTCAGAAGCATATGCCCCTGTCTAAGGCAGCCTGTCCCACACAGGCACCTGCAGCCCATCCCACATCTGAGGGCATGCGGAAAGTTACTGAAGAACGGGAAACCACAGGGCTTTGGGAGCAAAAGTGTTGAAGCTTTGTAGAAACGTTCCTCTCAGCCGGGCGTTGGTGGCGCACGCCTTTAATTCCAGCACTCGGGAAGCAGAGGCAGTCGGATCTCTGTGCATTCGAGGCCAGCCTGGCCTACAGAGCGAGTTCCAGGACAGCCTCCAAAGCTATAGAGAAACCTTGTCTCGAAAAACAAAAACAAAAAAAGTCTAAAGCTCAAAGACTCATGACCTGCTCTTCTATCCCCAGTGGCTGCCATTTGGCATTGTTATGTAACATTCCCTCCCAGATAAACCCTTCCATCTTGGAGGGAGGGTTCTTTAAGACCAGGAAGTTCTAAGGGGGTAAAACATTCCATCCTGCAAGGATTAAGTTTAGAAGGTGGACAGCTTAGTCGCTTCACAAGTCCCTAGAACTGACCCTGTTCACTAGGCTCCTCCCTCTCCCAGCTTATACAGCAAAGGGAGACATCCTCAGATAAGCTAAGCTGCCTAGGAAGGAGAGCCCAGCTGACTGGAAGAGATATCTGAAATCTGTTGAGATGGGCAGTATGTTCCAGGTTCCCAGCTTTGTGAGCTGTCGCCCATGCTGGAGCTATTTGGTGACATAGCTGTCATTTCTGGCCCAGGAATAACCCCTCATCCATACCCCTGTAAGTCATCGCAACTCGTTAGTTCACCAATTGAAGTTTTGTGGTAACCTTACTTTGGTCTGTCATTGGTTCCATATCGGGGGAGAGTAGACGTTTGCTTACACTGTTTGGGAGTCATGCCACAAAACAGGCAAGCACCACCTAATTGTCCTGACAGTTGGTCTAATAAGCCATTGCCTAATCTCTGGGAGATGTCTAAGGTCATGAGACAACACCTGACAGAAAGGGAGTTGTAGGAGAGAGGCCTGGGAACGTGCAGTGTTTAGGGAGAGCCAGAGTCATCAGGACTCAGTGCCCACGGGTGTGACAAAGAATCTGCTCCTCGTGTGTGACTCCAGGCTGCTGTGGGGATCTTCAGGACCAGCGAGAAAACACTGAAGCTACAGAGGGAAGTCATAGCAGAGTCTGGAATGAAGGGGGCAGGAGGAGAGGGAAACAGAACCCCCAAAACCCAGGGTGTGCGGACACCACAGGATGGACCACCCTTAGGCTCTCACCTCTGTCTCCACAATGGAATCTCTTGGGTGAATTTGGTTAGGAAAGGTGTGAAAAGTGGTCTTTGTGTTAAGGTGTTTGGTTTCATCACGCCCCCTCGTGTATACACACACACACACACACACACACACACACACACACACACACGAGAGGGGGGGAGGGAGAGAGAGTTTTACTGAGACAAGGTCTCATCCTGTAGCCCAGGCTATACTCAAACTCAAGGCAATCTCTGTGCAGCAACCACCTGCATAACCTTAGTGTTGTAACTACCGGGGTGCTGAGGTTATAGGTATCAGCCACCACACCCAATGAACTTGTAGTTTTAACAGGTGACCTAGTGATTCGCCCCATCTAAAACATGTACTGTATGAAAAATGTTGAAGTCATAGAATATTTTTAAGAAATATAAACCGTTTCACACGCCACCCTCATCGCTCATCACTGGCCCACTAGCCTTTGAGTCCACGGCTCTTCTCATCACCCACCAATGCAGATCTTCCCAAGTTTAACATTCCATGAGCAGGCCAGGATCCAGCTACAGCAGAGCCTCACGAATGCCAGGTAATGCTTACAGCCCTGTAAAAACAGACCATGTCTTTCTTCAGGGTTCGGATCTCAAAGCTCGAAGCCCAGTGGACAGTTTTTCTGTGTCATTAACCAAGGGTTCTGCTTTAGTCTCCAGACTCCTTTCCCACAGCTGTCTAAGCAGTTGCCAGAGTTTTGCCCAATGTTCCTGTCTATGGAACCTCTGGGGTTTAGTCAAGGTAAGATTGGGAGTTTCACGAATCAATACTGCTAAGCGCTCATTAGCAGGGAACTCTGAAATACAACATGCAAATCTGAATGGTTGGTTTGAGGGAACTAAATGGTTTCTTGCAAGCTCCTTTAGTTAATCCAGGCATTATTTTTCAAGTAAAATTCCAACCTTAATAGTTCACAAGGGCATGAACTCATCGGCGTCTACCAAGCACACTGGGCAGCATTCTTAAGGGAGCAGAAGGCACAAAGCCTGAGAGGTGAACCAGTGTGGTCAGGAAGATTCTGGAAACACCCCAAATGGGAATGCGTCCATGTATCACACTAGAGACACAAGTGGAATTCTGCTGAAAAGAATCACAGACTCAGGTAGGACTAAAAGAAGGATCCGTGTCAGAACCACTGTGGGGATGGCTTCTTAGAGGCCTCTTCTCCTCCTGGCTTCTCAGAGGCCTCCTGGCTTTCCGTGGGCCCATTCTTATCATGTTGAGTCCACTAAAGTATATTTTTAAGAGACGTTTCCTATGACATGGAAAAACATTTTTACAACATTCCAGTTACATTGCCCCTAGGAGTCATCTTCAACCTGATTGCTTCAAGGAGGCAAGAAGCACAGAGCTTGGTTTGCAAAGGGAACTGCTCCAGGCACTTCCTACAAAGGACACATGGATTCTGCAGGGAAGATGCACTTAGACGTGTGTGCCCTTTCTGGGTGGTGGCAGTGCACGCCTTTAGTTCCAGCACTCGGGAGGCAGAGACAGGCAGATCTCTGTGAGTTCAAGAGTTCAAGGCCAGCCTGGTCTAATGCGCAAGTTCCAGAACAACCTCCAGAGCTACACAGGGAAACTCTATCTTGAAAAAAAAAGTATGCACTGCATATACCCAAACGATCAAACAAGAGAGACAATTGTAACATAGACTCAGAAGCCTCCAGCCCCCACTTCTAATTGTGAGCATATATTTTACATGAAAAATTACAAAAATACAAATACTTTTTTTAATCAGTGTTAAAAAATGCTGATTTCATGGCGCACGCCTTTAATCCCAGCACACGGGAGGCAGAGGCAGGCGGATCTTTGTGAGTTCGAGGCCGGGCTGGACCAACAGCTTCCAAAACAATACAGAGAAACCCCTGTCTCGAAAAAACAAAAACAAAACAAAACAAAAAAAAATGCTGAGTTTACAATTTACACCATTTCAAATGTGAATGAATGTTAAGATAAGATGGTTCAATCCAGCAAAAACACCCAGTTCTCTTTGTTCCTGTGTAGACTCTTTGACAGTTACCAAGAATGCTACAAAAGATAAGACCCCTATTTTGTATAAATATTTCATCAACCTTCATAAACTACTTAGTTTCTTTCTGTTTTTCCAGACAGGGTTTCTCTTTGTAGCTTTGGAGCCTTGTCCTGGTACTCGCTCTGTAGACCAGGCTGGCCTTGAACTCACAGATATCCCCCTGCTTCTGCCTCCCGAATTCTGGGATTAAAGGCATGCATCACCAATGCCCAGCTCTTACTTTCTTTAAGATAACTTTTGCTTTTTTTTAAATTTGGAATTAAAAGATAATGTAGACAAAAGGAAGCCCATAAGACTGTAGTCTCCATGAGGTTTTGTGTTTGCCAAATTGCAGATGTGTGTGTGTCTCGATCTTTGCTGTTGGTTACGAGTATGGGGGATGGGAAGAAGAGAGACTTCTCTCCAAGGACTGTGGACCGGATGGTGACCCTTATTTGGTTGTGCCGGGGCAAGCGGAGAAAAGTCAGAGTCCTGACTATTTTGTTTCCCAGGTCAGATACCAGATGGGATTGCATCAGGTAGGACCAAAACAAAGTCTATGGGATTGCATCAGGTAGGACCAAAACAAAGTCTATGGGATTGCATCAGGAAGGATACTGGCGATTTCCAGATGAGGGCATTGCTCACGACCGGGCTGGGCCTTGAGCTACATAAGGAAAGCCACCACCATTGGCAAACCCATATTATGTAAGGCCCAGGCTCCCTGTAAATAGAGTATCAACACAAAAGAAATGCCAGCAGCCCAAGGCCTTGTATGGGGTTAGCCTGGCTTGCCGGCCTGTTTCCACACAGGAAGGAATCCCAGTCTGTCATGAAACTAAACATCCAGGTTCCCACATCACCCCACAGCAGGACATGTGAGCCCAAATGGCAGCGATTGCTCACAGGAGAAAGTCAAAGCACATTGTGTAATCGGACTCTGTGGAATGTGTGAGGCATGTAGCACCTGACTGGGCTTGTGTAGGTCCATTTAAAGTCATCCTTCACAGAAATCCTGCTTGCATCACTGCCCCAAAAGGAGAGTGTTGTCTTTCCAAACTAAATGACTCCTAAGACGCTCTCTCAGCTGCATCATCCTGACTATGGACTGTGTGACTATTTACAAGTGCTGAGAGCATGCACCAGGAGTCAGAAATCCTAAATTCTACACAGGTCAAACCACTTCCCAGACAGATGACCCTGGATAAGTACCTTGGTCTGGGCCAAACATTCATGTTCTTTTGCAAAACACAATAGCCATAGTAGTCATAAGGGGAATAGTGGATATGGCCGTGTTTGGAAAAGTTGAATGCACATAGACATAATAATTATAGTCACTACTGAAACATGTTCGTTACTGTAGAATCAGAGTATCCGGAAAAATGGTTAAAGACAGAGGTAAAGATGAGGCTGTCTTCTGTTCTTTCCATAAGTTATGAGGAAGGGTAAGACAGGGGAATTGTCTGGGCCAATTTCTGAATACCTGGGGCTAATTTATAATGAATAGAGATGGATTCAGCTTGGGGTTCTGGAAGGGAGAGACAAAACACGTGCAAGTCATCGATGCTGGACCATCCCACAGCAGGAGGTAGACAAGATGGTCAGATCCACTGTTATAACAAATCCAAGACAACCATCCTCAGCATTGAAGAAATCAGAAATTATCATTGCCCCTTACCACCAACAAAAGGCTGGCATGTCACATCCAAAGGAAATTCTCCAGTTCCCCCAGATCCAAAAGGCAGTCCAGGTGTTAAAAGATGACCTCAAACTGGACTACAGGAGGACTTCCAGTGGTTAAACAAAAGCCAGCATTCCTCAGGAAACTTGTGAAGCTGGTTCCCATCTAACAAAAGGATTCATTTCCCTCACCTCTAGCAAAAAGGACACAGGGCTCTCCAGTTAACATATACCCATGGCACCTATCGGCAAAACCAAGTCCACTCTGGAATCTTAACCCTCCTCGCTCCCTTCCCTCCCACAAGTGGCTCGCCCTCCTCATAGCCCTCGCTAGTCTCACTATGTACTGTCTCTCTGTCCTCTGTCTCCTGCTGTTCTCCCCTCTCGCACAGATAACCTGATGGACCTATTTAGTCAACTTCCTCTGCTCTGAACTCTTCCAAGAGCCTCTGACTGTTCCCACGCATTCCCAATAGAATCTTCCCTTACCGTGGAGCGTTCATGTCATCGGTTTATATGGTTTCTACCAATGAGCTGCCCAGAGCACCCCCTCACTGTCTCATCTGCCACTTGGCCAGGTGCAGAAACTAGAATTATAACTGGAACGAGTGTTTCTATCATATTTTATTAAGAATGCGTGTTTATGTAGATTCTTGTGTTTTCTTTCCTTGGTGTATCATGTAATGTTAGCATCAGTTAAGAAAATATCAGTAGGTGTCATATATAAATTTTGAGATACTAAAGAATGTTCCTCAAGGGACATTGTCACCTATTCTAAAATTTATGATGTGTTTGTATGAGGGATAGCTACATTATGTAATTATGACCTGGGTATTGTTTTCATTCGGAAATTAAGTGTGGCTTAAGGAGACATGACTGAGTGTCAAGCTGACACAGAATGGACTTGCTTGTCAACTGACTATATCTGAAATTGACTAAAACCCCACTGTCTGGGCACACCTATGAGAGTTTCATTTTATTTTGCTTTTCTTAATTAAATCATTTGAAGTGGGATGACCCACTTTTAATTCAGATCTTTTGAGGTGGGAATGCGTGCCTTTAACCCAGGTCTTTTGAGGGGACACACCTATATAAAGGACATGAAAGAAGGGAGCTTTTGGCTTTGGTCTGTTTGCTCTTTCTCTTGCTCTCTCTGGCAAATCCATCCCTTAGCTGGCATTAGAGTCTGCTTCTTCGGAGAGTCCAGCATGTACTCAAGACCGGCTGAGACATCCAGCCTGTCGGACTAAACAACTACTGTATTCTTGGAACTTCCATTGGTAGACAGCCATTGATGGACTAGTCTGTAATTGATTTATTAGGCTATAAGCCATTATAATAAATCCCCTCTCTCTCTCCCTCCCTCCCTTCTTCACTTCCTCCCTTTCTCTCCCTCCCTCTCTCTTTTTCCTTCTTTCCCTCCCTCCCCCCTCTCTCCCTCTCCCTGTCTCTCCAGATATACCCACAGACCTCAAACAGCACTGGGATGAAACATGAACCCAGATGCATGGCAAAACAGTGAGATGTCCTTTCCTGTAAGTCACTGTTTGCACCTTATCCTTCCTGTGCACCGCTGTGGTCTTGGCAAGAGATACTTTGAGGACTGACAGGCTTAGCTGCTATGAACATTTTCCTTCCATCTTCAATTGTGGTACTTACTCAGCTTAAGCCTAACCTGACACTGCCATATCCATCCACCAGTATCCTCCACCATAACCCTTCTCCCAAGCACAAGGAACTTAGAAACGCTGGAATAACCTATGTGTTTAACATTGACTGAGGGATGTCACGTGGAGGCTTCTGTCCTACATATATGGGAAATGGATGTGTGCAAGCATGGTATTGATTAGTGGCTAAAGCTTTTCCAGAGATTTCGATGTTGCATTGTGGGTCTGATGAGTTAATATCACGTGATAAGTCACATCCACACTCGTGTGGTTCAGGCCTGGAGTTTTTAGCGTGGAAGAGTGAAGACACAGTTGCAGGCTCAGTGAGATGGCTAAGAACACATTGTCCTGAGTTTGGTTCAAAACCAGCAATTCTTCCGAGTTCAGACCTGACATTCCGTTTCCATGGGCATGGACTTCTTACCTCTGTATCTGGAGAGAACTGGGATGATGAGAACCTGTGACCTGTGTGAAGCCTCTGCAGAGAGACCTGTGAGGGAAGACAGTTTTGTCAGGTGGGATCTCATGGGGGTCTTGTGACAGACTGTCTGCAAGCCAGAGGATCACCGAAACAGGGAGGGTGGCTCCATCTGAGTCTGTGAACACATTTCTTCAGGACACACAACACAGTTTCTTAAAAAAAAAAAAAACATACAAGGGACAAAAGAGTAAACATCTCCAGTTTTAGTTACTTTTCTAGCATCATGATAAAAATGGCATGACCAAGGTTACTTATAAAAAGAAAATATTTAATTTGATTTTCTGGGAATGGCATGGGCTCTTGAAATCTTTTTGTTTGTTTGTTTGTTTTTTGGGACAGGGTTTCTCTGTATTGTTTTGGAGGCTGTCCTGGAACTCGCTGGCCTCGAATTCACAGAGATCCGCTTGCCTCTGGGCTTTTGAAATCTTAAAGCCCACCCCCAGTGACACCTCCTCCCCAATAAGGCAATACCTCTCAGACCTTCCCAAATAGTTCTGCCAAGGGACCAAGTATTCAATATTTGAACTGATGGGGGTCATTCTCGTTGAAAACGCTATACCTAAGGACTAGACATGTCTGTGCACACATGGAGCATGTGGGAATCATGACTCAGACAAATTTTACCGGGGGCAGAGGGGTGGGTCAAAAACTTGAACCCTAACTGGATATTTACTCATGGAAAAATTATTTTCTATTTTGATTTTGGCAATGGCTTTGAGGTCATGTTCTTAAAGGGACCTAAAAACCTAAGAGCTCAGATGTGTATATTGAAATACCTACAAAAGAAATCATACAATGTCCAAAGTTTGCTTCAAAATACTGAGGGAAGTTTGTATGATTATAGCTGAAGTGACATGAACTTTTTCACTCCATTTAGTTGTACTTTCTGAAATATTATACATTAGATATTCACGTGCCTATGGCTTGCTGTTTTAAAAATATTGGGTGAAGCCGGGCGTTGGTGGCACACACCTTTAATCCCAGCACTCGGGAGGCAGAGGCAGGCGGATCTCTGTGAGTTCGAGGCCAGCCTGGTCTACAGAGTGAGTTCCAGGACAACCTCCAAAACAATACAGAGAAACCCTGTCTCAAAAAAACAAAAACAAAAACAAAAGCTGTGTGGTGGCGGGGGGGGGTCGGAGTCAGACTTGGCTCTACTCTAGAAAGCTAGACAACCTGAACCTATGCAGAGACGTTTGTCTCTCCTCTGTCCAAGGCTTGATCTTTTGCTTTACAAAAATGCAAACCCTACTCGTGGTTCTTAGGCCTTGTACAAAAAGATACACCTTAAGAGTTCTGCAGGCCCCTGTGCACACCGTTGCAGAGGGAGAAGAGTCTGATGGGAACTCTGCCGAATTTGCATGATCACCTCAGAAGCCAGCTACTCTTTTCAGACACTTTCATGTATTCAACTGTCTTAGCAGGGCTTTTGGTGTCGCTACTCAATCCATTAAGCAGTGTGAGTGTCCCTCTCTGAAAGATAAGAAAGCCAAGGCTTCGAGAGGTTAATTAAATTGCCTAGATGCCACAAATGGAATCACTAGCAGGAGACAGAGCAGAGTTTGAGCCAGCAGCCGGAACCCTGAAGCACCACAGTCTGCTGGAGGTGTACCGGATGCATTGTTAGCTGTTGCCATTTATTATCAGCCATTATTGGTGACTGATATTTATTTGAAGCCTTGATAAGCTAGATAAGGCAGCAGTCAAGTCCCTGTTGAGACATTTGAGCACACCATCGGGACAGTTAGGTCCCTCGGGCTGAAACACTAGCTAAATGAATATTAAGAAACGTCAGGGACTGAACAAGGGGTTATGGAGGCAAAAGCAAAATGTCAGGGTCACCTGAGTGCCACCAAGAACTTGTTGTCCTCACATATGTCATAAGGGGTCACAGGAGCATATAACCATCATGCTATTAATAGCTCAAGTGCTACCCTTGAAGGGAGCTCCCAAAGCCAGCCCCAGGACTTCACCAAGATGTATTGTTACTGGAAACTCTAGGCAGCGCTATGTTAGGTGCCGCATAGTGGGTCCCTGTCCTGAGGTCTTATTCTCATTAGTAAAAGAATTTTTCAAGTAGACCCCAAAAGAAACTGGAGGACAGATTTATGGGACTTAAGAGAAAACAGTGGGGGCAGGCAAACCCGAAATCTTTGGCTACAACAGGGAAGAGGGATAAAGAGAGGTAAGAAGCCTTGCCTTCTGAGTCAGGGTGAAGCCTTGCCTTCTGAGTCAGGATGAAGCCTTGCCTTCTGAGTGAGTCAGGATGGTGTCCTCGGCAACGGAGGTTCAGCAAGCAGTCACATGGAATTGGGCAGCTATGTGATGAAAGTGGGGGTAACTTTAGAGAAAACATGCTTAGACTGCATCCAGAATCAGAAAGAAGGGAGGAAGGGGGAGGGAAGGAGGGAGGGAGAATGGGAGGGAAGGAGGGAGAAAGGAAGGAAAGAAGGAAGGAAGGAAGGAAGGAAGGAAGGAAGGAAGGAAGGGGAAAATTTGTGTTTTTTCTGAGTTAGGACTCAGAAAAGTGGGCAGACTTAGGTGAGCTGTATGACTGCTGCCCCACAGGCAACCACACGAAGGAGCTTTTAGAAAAGGAAAAGTGCATTGTCTCACTAAAGGAGTAATTGTTCCTCCCACTCTTGCAGGGATCCCACCAAAGAAGATCATTCAGACAAAGTCTATGCGCCAACAGAAAGTCTTCCTTACGGCCCTCTGGCGACTACACCTGGGTATTCAAAACCCAAGTACAGTCCTGAGACTTTCTCAGAATCCATATTTAAGCAAGAAAATAACATTATGGCTGGAAAATCCCCGAGGTTTCCTTCCTGCGGCTGCAAACTAAGCATTTAGTTACAAAAGCCAAAATATAGGATTATCAAAAATAGTGAGGTCAAGCTGACTTTTGCAGAGAGCCTATATCCTTGGGTTGTTTTCCTTCCCAGAACTGATTTTTTTCTTAAAGACCCTCCCCACTTTTGAGGTACCAAAACAGAATCAGTAGTCAACTTACAGTCCTTGTCACACCATGTCTGCAGCAAGGTTTTAGGACAATCAGCCTTCCTGAATGGATGTCTCTTGGCCAATCTTTTGAGGATATCAGCATCATGTCACCACCCAGAAGTACCCCATTATGGCGAGGTCCATCCTCAGTGGTCTCTAAAGCTCCTGAAACATTCTCCTCTCCAGACCAGGGACCCTAAAACTACTTAGGAGATGGCTGAAATTGGGAACTTCATGTAATTCATTTCTGCCACGAGAAGCCAGAGATCTAGTTCCAAAACTGTTCACCCCAGTGGATTAGTGTCTAGACTGGAATCAGTCACACCTTCGTCTGGAGCTTGCCAGGCAGGGGTTCTGATTTAGGAAAAGAGATAAGAAGGAATTAGGGCCCAGAGCTGTCCTCTGCATTCCTGCCCTCCAATCAGGACATTGCTGGGACCTAGGCTTTTAGGATCCTTGCTGGAAGCTTGCCTGTACACTTTCCGTCTTCTGCTCTCATCCTTACTATTCCCTAAACCAAAGCTTCTGGGAACAGACACACCTGTGTCTCACACTGTGCACATTGGTCGACCAGTTAGAACTTCCTGGCTGTGGATCCCTAGAAGGTTGCAGATTGAAAGCCAAAAGTATCCTGGACTGTCTTGACTCCTTTTAATAACCACATAAAACCCACCTTCTGGGTCTGTCACAAGGGTGTATTAACTTAGCAGCTGTTAAGCAGCTTTAACACAAGTTAAAGTCATCCGAGAGAATGGAACCTCAATTAAGAAAATGCTTCTATAAGATCAGACTGTAGGCAAGCCTGAAGGACACTTTCATAGGTCCAGACCATGGTGGGTGGTGCCATCCCTGGGCTGGTGGTCTTGGGTTCTGTGGGAACA